AAACATTAGTTTTTAGTTTTTATCTAAATTTGTATCAAAAGAGCACCCGTTTTCAGAATCAAGCCTGTACTGTGATTGTTGGCACTGTTTGTATCTGTATCCTTCTTGCTAATCAAATGTTAAAGTAGCCAATCAGGCTACAGATCCAAACATCCAAACAGAACAGGCTTAACTTTGGCTTTCTGTCCCTTCAATTGTTGCTCAACTTCACTTCCCCAGATTTGAATGATTATTATCTAAACTTGTCAGTGCTTTTCTTAGCCAGAATCCAACATGTTCTGTAGTGAAATGTTAGCATGGTAGTAATGCTAACACAAAACAGCTCCTCTCCTCTAGTTATCAATACTGTTTAATATTTAGCAATTGCTAGATAGATATTTTGACATTTATTCAATGATGCTTTGAAAATCATGCACTGTGTTCACTTATTTATTGATATATTATTTATATATTTATATTTATTTTTTTTAAATTCTGAAATAATGCATAATAAGACAGCAAAAAGTCATCACACATTTAATGTCTCTAAGCTACCTCACAAACATAAAATTAAATGACTAAGAATGCACTACATGACATATGAGAGTTTTGACGGAACTTGTTTGATTAAGGTAAAAAAGTCCATTCATGGTGGAGGGGCACATGCTTTGAGTTCTAGAGAAAATATATTTTTTTTCAGATTTATCACTATTTTACCATCATCAACATTCCATACAAAAGCTCAGAAGACTTGTGTAGGTTCACTGGTGGTTTTGGATAGTAAATAAAATGTCTATATTTGTGTTGTAGTCATGGTGACCCCTGGTTCCTATCACCACCACTGTAAAGAAGTTTGCATCAGCAAGTTTCTTTATTATTAACTACTTCATATCAAACCTCTCTAAATTACATTTTTGATTTAATTATGTAGAAACTTATGCATTATGTGGAGACATCTAAATGATTCTTTTTTAAGAGCTGCAGTTTTCAGTAAAGCTGGGAACAAACCTGATATTAGTAAATCATTTACTATCATTTACATGTAGTTAATAATTTGCAGAAGATTCTTTTCTAGGCAGTTAAAACATCTTTGAGAACATCTTTGATTTAAAAAGACAGCAAGAAGAGTGTTTCAAGCTTTCCTCAAGAATTTTGACACTGATAATGCTAAACTGAGACATTATAACTAAAGTCTTTCTGTGCAGAGTAGCGTCAGTTTCTGGCAGCAAAGTCTTTATGATGTGTCTGATATTTATGATTTTGTCTCATGAAACATTCTGCAAATTCAAGGTATTTGTTGACGGAGAATAGTTCAGGTGCTTTGTTAATCTTAATTAATCTGTCCACAGTGGTGTGTGGGAGTTTTTCATGTTTTTATAAATGATGTGCTGATAATTGTCTGGCCTTTTTAAATTCTGGATCATAGTTTTGAAGGCTTCGTTAAAGGAGGAGCTTACAAATGTTTACAAATTCCTGTTAAATAATGTTCAAATGTTAAATTATACGTAATAGACGTTTATTAATGAATTTGCAAGACCGAAACTAAAGTCAAACATACTCATTCTTAATTATACATACCTGGCTTAGTAAAATCTTACAAAACAGTGAAGTCTTACAAGACAACTATATTAGTCAGGAAACTCCTTTGCCAGTAGTGGATGGCGAGGAACCTTTAAAAGCCCCAGTCAGTGGTCAGTTAGGCTGGTTTTCAGCATTAAATCTTCCTCAGTCTCTCACTCTCTTCTCTTTCCATACAGACATTTTTATTCATACAATTCTGCACTAGTTAGTTCACTTTATTCTCTGTTCACAGCATAGTTTGATCTCACTGTCAGTCCAGTCAGTCCACTACAGACATTCTCTGACCACATTAAACTACTAAACACATCTATCTCTCTCTCTTTCTCTCTCTCTCTCTCTCGCTCTCTCTGTCTCTGTGAGTATTAAAGTCCTCAGCCACTCCTACATGTGGAATGTGGTTTGTTGTTGTGTGAAAACTGGAAATAGTTTCTGTTTTTCTGATGAAACGTAGATTATTAACCATTTAAGGGGTAAACAGTTTTGTACACAACCCATAAACACATCATTTGGAAATGTTACTTGTAAGTGAGAACGTTTGTAGACGTAGAACTTCTCCTACTGTGCAGACACTGAATCCACCAGTGGTAGAAAAGTGGAATCTCAGTCAAACCCGAGATGCACAGTTATTGTCCACCATTTCATCATAACTGATGGAATAACTGCCGACTATGTGGTACAGATTTAGCATACATGGGTTGTGCTTTGAATGTATTTTCATGACAAAGCAATTTAGTTTTAGCCTTTCAGTGTCTTGATGTCAGAAACTGAAATTCAATGTGAACAAGTAAAACATTAGAATGTACATTTATATGTAATAGTATATGTGAAGGGACAGTGTGTAAAATGTAAATAAAACAGAAAGCAGTAATTTGTAAATCCACTTTGACTTTTGATTTTAAGTCAAGATATTTAATGTTTTGCTTTCTCAGCTTCATTGCTTTTTATAAACAAACCACATTCTGAAATTGATTCCTTCAGGACATTCCAAAAACGTCTGAACTGAGACAGTGTAAGAGTAGAAAGGCAAACAAGGAAAATGTATGCATTATGTTGGAAGTATTATTGTTAGGTTTATTCTATTTATTCTACATTGTTCAGCTGCGCTTTGTATTATATCTGCCAAAATAATACCAGCTGGGGCAGCAGAGCGTGATGTGGTGAGGTGTAACTTTTTTGACAGGCGCCCTGTTTCTGTTTTGACACGTTGTGTCGCTCTGCAATTCCACTCAAGGTTCCTTCCTCTTGCTCTTAGGGAGCTCTTCCTTGCCGCTGACAGCATTGGCTTCCTCACGGTGGCTTGGACCTGGATTATTTTGCAAAGCTGCTTAGTGACAATGACTGTTGTAAAATACACTGTATAAACGAACTTTGACTTGACACCTTAAAACAGATGAGAAGAAAGTCTTCCATGAAGTGTAGGAGTGAAGGATCTTTATGAATCTTCTGGTAAACAATTTGGAGAGAAACAGCCAAATTGTTAGAAATTAGAGGTAAAGCTAGGTTAGCTAGTTAAGTAGATATAAGTTAGCATATTCAAGCTGCACACCTCCATGGTGATATAAAACTATAAAATACATGCCATAAATTACAGCTGGAGAGCTCTACCAGTAAAGCAGCTATTTTTTGATAGGCCTGTAGTGTGTGAGATGGGTGAATTTTGAGTTTGGTGTAATTTTGAGCTGATCATAATCCTGACACTCCTTTCCTAAACATCAGTGTATTTTTCTCCTCCAATCACTGTTTAGTAACCATTGCACTATCCTTCATTATCTCACTCAGGCTTTCAGATTTTTAGCTGTGAGTTAGTGTCCCTAAGAATGTACTTTGAATATGAAACAGATGTGTAAAGTTTGTTACAAACTGAACACAATGTGAATAAACAGCGCTAAAACATGAAATATTCAGATGTGATTTTATTGCATTTAGACCCACCTGCAGCAACACAGTATTTTTTGGAATTTCACCAAAATTGTTGGAAAAAAGGTCTTTTGCTTCTCTTGAAACAGGTGAAGTGTGACAAGGGTCCACTTTGAAAAAGAGAAAGGGGAATGGAGAGTTTGTCCGCCTCATTCAGGAGCTTAAACATACTCCTCTATAATGTCTCTAGCTTAAATTTTCTGAACTTTTTCACACACAGCTCAGATCTTCATAACTCAGATCTGAGTTGATTTTGGAGATACAACTCCATATGAGGCGAAACACAAAGCAAACAGGCTGAATGTCTTCAAGTGGACATTGAACGGGCAAAGTGTGACACTAGGCTACTTACCATTTGGGAAAAGTGAATGTATAGCATGATGAGCTATAAATTGTACAAATATATCACGTTTGGTGTGTTAAAGCCTTAAAACTGGGAAGTTTTTGGAATCATTAAAGCACCTGTTTTGGTATTTTCCACAGGTAAATAGGTGAATAGGTAACAGGTGATGCTATCATGATTGGGTATAAAAGGAACATTCACAAAAGGTCTGATGCAAAGTGGAAACGTGTGCTGTGATCAGACAAGTCCACCTTTCAAATTGTGTTTGGAAGTAATGGATGTTGTGTTCTCTGGGCCAAAGAGGAAAAGGACCATCCCAATTTTTACCAACGCAAAGTTCAAAAGCCAGCTGTCATGGTATGGGGTGGGTGATAAGGGGTAACTTGCATCTGCAACGCCATCATTAATGCTGAGGAGTACATTTACATTTTGGAGCAAAATGATGCTGCCATCTAGATGACCTCTTTCTTAGGGACGTCCCTGCTTGTTTCACTAACACAATGCCAAGCCAGATCCTGCTCATGTTACAACACTACGGCCTTATAGTAACAGAGTGCAGATACTAAACAGGCCTGCCTGCAGTCCAGACCCGTCTCTCAATGAAAATGTGGGGCACATTATGAAGTGCAACGTACAACAATGTAGACGCCGGACTGTTGGGCAGCTAAAGTGTTATGTCAAGCAAAAATGGGAAAAAAAATTCAATTTTCACAACTATAATAAACGGTGTCCTCAGTTCCCAAATGATTACTGAATGATGATGGAACACAGTGGTAAACATGCCACTGTCCCAACTTTAGAATAAGCATATATATACAAAACAATCAATTTTGCAAATCATTGCTTTTATTTACATTTTTCCTACTCTCACAACTTGTTGGATCTGGGTTGGTAAAAGGCTCTAAACTACACTGGCATAATGTTATAGGCAGATGCTTCATATCATTATATGTGTGCATTACTGTGCAGGTATGAAAGCAAGTCTCCTGAAAAGAATGGAAACCGTAATAAAGACAAAGAGTGGACTGACTAAACATGAAAAAATTGGACCTGGCCTGATCTCTGTAGTAAATAAATGAACCATTCAGAGTGCGCACACCAGTGTCTGTGTTGCTGCAAATGTGCTCTTTGCTAACTCTACTCCTCATGGCCACTTGTCTTCCTGTAAACTGTCTTTCAGGGGCGATGCTTTTTTGTGTGATGATACTGACTTTCTCTGGCTTTATGGAGACCATGTCAGGTATGTGTGTTCTATCCTGTAGAAATAGTAAAAAACATACTATATTGGAAAACGATAAAACTCATAGAATAATGTGGAAAAAACATTAAGCAATGTAGATATTTTATATAGGCAATATTTTCATACATATCGTGCCCTCCTGGTAATCATAAGCAAAATGAGCTGTAAAAAATATTCACAATTACTTATCCTTTTGATCTTTAATTTAAAATATAAGCAGCAATCTAACCTTTATTTAAGGTGTAATGATTGAAAGAAAAATCTAGTCTTGAAGTAAACATTCTTCTTAAATGTATGTGTGCCACAATTGTTGGCACCCTTAGAAATTCTTGAGAGTGAAATGTAACTCATGTATATTTATATTGATATTTTATGTTTTGTGATTAGTGATTAGGAACACTTAAAAGGTCAGCTATTACTTCTCAGGCCTCTGGTGTTGACGACCAGCATATTGATTCTCCTACAGCTTGCCAAACAAAACTTTCGGTTGGATCGTGTTCTATGGTCAAACCAAAATGCAGGTTTTTGCCAACGAACACCAGAGGCAAGTTTGGCATGAACACAGAGCCATATATGAAAGGAGTTCATCCCCACTGTGAAGTATGGTGGTGAATCTGTGATACTGTTTTTTCCAAAGGCCCTGGACAATTTATTCGGATACACGGTATCTCGGACTCAATTAAGTACCAGTAGAAAAAAAAATCCAAACCTGACTGTCCATAGTTTGGATCTTCCAGCAGGACAATGATCCAAAACACGCCTCAAAATCAACACAAAAATGGTTCGCTGACCGCAGAAGTAAGGTTTTGCCATGGCCACCCCAGTCCCCTGACCTATACCCCTTAAAAAACCTGTGGGATGAGCTGAAGAGGAGAGTCCACAGTGTTAACCACAGAATCTGAAGGATCCGGAGAGGTTCTGTATGGAAGAAAGGTCTTAGATCCTTTGCCACGTGTTCTCCAGTCTCATTAAGCGTTATAGGTGAAAACTCAGAGCTGTTATGTTTGCAAAGGGAGGCTACACAATGTATAAAGTCAAGTGGGTCTAATAATTGTGGCACACACATATTTTAAAAAAAATATCTATTTCCTGATAAGATTGAGGTTTTTTTCCAATCGTTGTACTTCAAATAAGGGTTAGATTTCTGTTACTATTTTGAATGAAAGATCAAAAGGATGAGCAATAAAGAATGTTTTTTTACAGCCTGTTTTGCTCATGGTTACCAGGGGCGACAATATTTGAGGAGGGCACTGTATGTTTTTAACTATTTTTTTTATTATTATTATTTTATTATATATCATGTTTGTTTTTGGTTGCAGAGAACTTTAAAGTAGTTGGTCCAGGCGCTCCTCTTGTTGTTGAAGCTGGTGAAGATCTGGTTCTGCCCTGTTCCCTCCAACCCAACATCAGTGCTGTGGAGATGATGGTGGAGTGGATCAGACAAGATACCAACAATCTGGTGCATCTCTATAAAGATCATAATGACATAAATTATGATCAAATTGATTCCTATCAAGGACGAACAGCTCTGTTTAAAGAAGAACTACAGAAAGGAAACACCTCACTGAAACTCTCAGCAGTCCAACCTTCTGATCAAGGAGCTTACAAATGTTTAATTCAGGACAAATCCTACAGCAATGCCATTACTGTTTATGTTGAAGTCAATGGTGAGAAACATAAAAGTTTAAATACTGAGCTTATTTTGGAATGAAAACCATCAAGACGACATTGTCAATTACTAAGACACAAATCAACATTTAGAGTGGAGGCACTTCAGTATTTGTAATATATCGAGGGAGTGAACAGTAATTCTGATATTTGGCAGATATTGTGATGACAGAGAGAACAGAGACAGATACTCCATTATTCTTTTAATATTTCATGTTTAAAAGTTATGTGTGTACAAAATGAAGACAGGAAAAGCCAAGATTCATTTTGCCAGATCCATACTTAAGTTTTAGAAAGTAATAGTTAAAAAAAAGTTACAGGAGTAAAAGTCTTATAGATAAAAGCAGCAGTATATTGTTCTATGCAAAACTTTGGGCATCCCTGGAAAATTTTGCTGATCTTTGAAGGAACGTAATGCTGCAGAATGCAACAAAACACACAGTTACTAATATTTGATTAGTGTAAAAAAACAAAACCTGATTTGATGCCTAAAAAGCTGGAAAAGGCTATTAGAATATACCAAAGCATTTGTTGGTAATGTCATTAAGAAATAGCAGTTAAGGAAAACTATGGAGGTGGGATCTTGAAGACCAAGAAAACTGAGATGGAGCAGCTCATATGCTGGGCAAAGGCGAAGCAAAGGAGCTAGAGGAAGGCTTAAACTGACACAGGAATGGTGGTGCACCGTTCCACTCTGCATTGTTGCTTGCACAAACATGATATGTTTATGAGTCATCAGAAGTAAACCTTACTTGGGATCACAACAGTGAATGTCTGAAATCTGCAAAATACCATCTTGAAAAGCCAGAGACAATTTGTAAAACATAACTCTATGGCCACATTTATTAAGGTCACATAAATAGTGGGAAAAGATATTCTTCCCTTCTACTTTAGTTTTTTTGCAAATCTCTGCATGTTTTATTGTAGAGACCATACAATTATTGAATAAGAAACATCACTTTTCAATGTTCATTAGTTTTTTTTTGTTTTTATATATATATATATATATATATATATATATATATATATATATATATATATATATATATATATATATATATATATACATATATCGATCTTATTATTGAAAAGTAAAATTTATCATGTTGAGACACTGACCATCCGGTTTGCTTCACTACTCTCCACCAGGGCAATAGCCTGCCCACCTTGGCAATCTTTAACTAATCACAGCACTTGCCACATGTCAAGTGTAAAACTGTTTGCAGCAATAGGCTATGAACATTTAAAGCAATTTTTATGCCCTAGACTTATCTGGCCCATTTTACCTTAAACATTTGAAGGTTACACCAGTACTATAATAATCTAAAGTTTCAAATAAATGTCTTTTAAGCGCCTACGACTTCCATCTAAAATGTCATTTGCAAACAGCATCAATTTTAAAATATTTCAAGTCAAGTCAACAGGCTTTGTCATTTCATCTATGTACAAGTACACAGTGGAGTGAAATTATGTTCCTTCAGGAACAACATGGAACAAAATAGACAGTACAAAGTGCAAACGTGCAGACGTAAGTGTGCAAAAAAAAAAATTAACTAAAAACAATACAATAAATACGATAAGCAGCATTCATTTCTGAACATGAGGTAGTGGAATAAGGTGCAAAGATATTTAACATGCTGTGATCTGTGAGTTTACGCAGTCAGATAATAAACGTGAGCACAGCAGTTACTGAGGTAGGATTTACATAGTACTAGAGTAAACAAAGAGTAAACACTGTATTAGCAGCAAAGTTCCAGAAAGTGCTAATAGAGCATCAAAAGAGAAGTGTGTGTGTGTGTGTGAATGTAGAGTATGTGTTGTGGAACAAAGCTGTTGCAGAGTCTGGCAGTGATGGCACGGATGCTCCGGTACCTTCTGCCAGACGGCAGCAGTGAGAAAAGTCTGTGTGAGGGATGGATGGGGTCATCCACAATGCTGGTGGCATTGCGGATGCAGCATGTGGTGTAGATGTCCATGATGGAGGGGAGAGAGACCCATGATCTTCTCAGCTGTCCTCACTATATGCTGTAGGGTCTTGCAGTCAGAGGCAGTGCAATTCCCAAACCAGGTAATGATGCAGCTGCTCAAGATGCTCTCCACCATCCCCTTTAGAACATGGTGAGGATGGAAGGGGGGGAGATGAGCCTTCTTCAGTCTTTGCAGGAAGTAGAGGTGCTGCTGGGTTCCCTCGGCTATGGAGTTGGTGTTGAGGGACCAGGTGAGGTTTTCTGTGATGTGGACACCGAGGAACTTCATGCTCCTGACGATTTCCACAGCAGAGCCAGTGATGTTCAGTGGGGGGTGGTCACCTTGCACTCTTCAGAAGTCAACAACCATCTCCTTAGTTTTGTCCACATTCAGAGACAGGTTGTTGGTTCTGTGCCAGTCCGTCTGCCACTGCACCTCCTTTCTGTACGCTGACTCATCATTCTTGCTGATCAGACCCACCACAGTCATGCCATCAGCAAACTTGATGATGTGGTTTGAGCTGTACTTTGCAGTACAGTCATGAGTCAGTAGAGTGAACAGCAGCGGACTAAGCACACAGCCCTGAGGGGCGCCGGTGCTCAGTATGGTGGTGCTGGAGATGTTGTTACCTATCCTGACTAACTGAGGTCACTCAGTCAGGAAATCCAGGACCCAGTTACAGAGGGAGGTGTTCAGGCCCAGCAGGCTCAGTTTTCCAATCAGCTGCTGAGGGATGATGGTGTTGAATGCTCAACTGAAGTCTATGAAGAGCATTCTGACATAGGTGTCTTTATTGTCCAGGTGGGTGAGAGCCAGGTGGAGTGTAGTGGAGATGGTGTCATCTGTTGAGTGGTTGGGGCGATACACAAACTGCAGGGGGCCAGTGAAGGGGGGAGCTGGTCTTTAATGTGCCTCATGACAAGCCTCTCGAAGCACTTCATGATAATGGGAGTAAGTGCAATGGAATGGTAGTCATAGAGGCAGGACACTGGAGACTTCTTCGGCACAGGGATGATGGTGGTGGACTTGTTGGAACGACTGCAGTGCTCAGAGAAATGTTGAATATGTCCGTGAGAACATCAGCCAGCTGTTCAGTGCATCCTCTAAGCACTCTGCCTGGTATGCTGTCAGATCCTGGTGCTTTTCGTGGGTTGACTCTGTGTAGAGTTCTCCACACATCAGTAGTGGACAGACACAGTACCTGTTCATTTTGAGGAGGTGTGGTCTTCCTCGCTGTTGTGCCGTTCTGTGCTTCAAACCGAGCATGCAAGTTATTAAGCGCATCTGGAAGGGAGGCATCACTGTCACAAGCACGTGGAGGTGTCTTGTAGTTGGTGATGGCCTGGATGCTCTGCCACATGCTCTTGCTATCCTGAGGCTTGCCTTATCCCTTTAAGGAAACCCTGGATGACTATTGCACATAATATTTATGTTTATTACATTTATCATATTTATTGAATTTATTTAGGTTGAGGTGTGTGTAAGAATGCACAGATTTATGAAAATTGCTATATACAGTGTTGAGAAGTAACAGAATATATGCAATGGCGTTACATAATCAAGATTAAAAAAAGGTAACCGTAATTTATTACAGAAAAAAGACATGCATCAGAACACATGCACTTTGAAAATTAGGGTGATTACTAGTACAACTACATTCATCAAAATTTGCCATTCTGAATGCTAAATGTGTCAAAGGAGCCATGTACATTGAAGGATAGAATGCATAGATTTATGAAAATTGCTATATACAGTGTTGAGAAGTAACAGAATATATGCAATGGCGTTACATAATCTGGATTAAAAAAAGGTAACCGTAATCCATTACAGAAAAAAGACATGTATCAGATTACATGCACTTTGAAAATTAGGCTGGTTACAAGTACAACTACATTCATGCAGGTGAAATCATTGCCTTTTGTCAAAATTTGCCGTTCTGAATGCTAAATGTGTCAAAGGAGCCATGTACATTTGAAGGGTTTTTCACTTTAGGAAGAAAAAATCTGTAGAAAATCCCCCCACCCCCTCACAAGCAGCAGTTCATGTGAGTGCAAAAATGTTAATATGTGTAAATATATAATATGTGCAAATTAATGTAACTAACACTCAGCTCCTACTGGACTGCAGAAACCACTGAAAGCTAGGAAGTGTCAACAAATTATACAAAATCACAAACAGTGATCATCGAAGTCCAAGCATGACTCATCAGTGTAAAATCTTATGACGTAGCACAGGCTTTAGCAGAGAGAATTGTTGAGTTTGGCCACTATTTTGTAATTATTTTTGAAAAGGGGCTTCTTTTTATAAATATTCTTAATCTTCAGGTGTCTTGAAAGTGCTCCATCAGATTGACATTTTTGACTGTGATATAAAGCAAATACAATTAAGTCAGCAACACAGCGCCTCACAGATGTTATTTTTTTTATTTTGGAAGAACTAAAAATATCTGTTTTCATTAGAAAAATGTGAACTCTACACTGTGGTAACACATTGGACACAAATAACAGTCTACAATTTATGCAAATGTTTGGGTGCCCCTGGTGAAATAAAATTTGGTTAAGAATGTTTTTTGCAAATGTACAAAACATTCTTAACAAAATATAATTTCCCTGGAGGCATCCAAACAAGTCGTAATTTAAACCACAAAAAAATTAATCATGTCAAACAATAAATTGGTATATATTTTTAATATATTATATTTATGACCAAGAAACTACTACTAAACATTTAGATATGCAAACAAAATCATATTTTGTTATCTGTAAAGTCATCAGACTCCACTCTGCAACACAAAACAGCAGTACATTACACAGGAGTACACAGAGTGCAGATATACGAAAGTGTGAATCAAGTGCAGAATATACAATAAATACATCAGACAATAAATATAGAAAACAATAAATACACAATACAAGTACTCGACAGGACTGCAAAACAGTATATACAAACGGGCATCATATATGTATGTACACACAGACATACACCGGTCAGGCATAACATTATGACCATTATGTCCTTGTTTCTATGCTCATTGTCCATTTTATCAGCTCCCCTTACTATATAGGTGCACTTTGTAGTTCTACAATTACAGACTGTAGTCCATCTGTTTCTCTGTATACTTTGTTAGCCCCCTTTTACCCTGTTCTTCAGTGGCAAACACTGTGTCCACTCATTGTCCACTCTATTAGACACTGCTACCTTGTCAGTCCACCTTGTAGATGCAAAGTCAGAGACGATAGCTCATCTGCTGCTGCACAGTTTGTATTGGTCATCCTCTAGTCTTTCATCAGTGGTCACAGGACGCTGTTGGCTGGATATTTTTGGTTGGTGGACTATTTTCAGTCCAGCAGTGACACTGAGGTGTTTAAAAACTCCAGCAGCACTGCTGTGTCTGATCCACTCAGACCAGCACAACACACACTAACACACCACCATCACGTCAGTGTTACTGCAGTGCTGAGAATGATCCACCACCCAAATAGTACCTGCTCTGTGAGGGTCCATGGGGGTCCTGACCACTGAAGAACAGGGTAAAAGGGGGCTAACAAAGTATACAGAGAAACAGATGGACTACAGTCTGTAACTGTAGAACTACAAAGTACACCTATATAGTAAGTGGAGCTGATAAAATGGACAATGAGCGTAGAAACAAGGAGGTGGTCATAATGTTATGCCTGATTGGTGTATATTCACGTGGATTTGCAGGATCCATTTGTAGCTGGATGTGAGTGAATTAATGCAAACATTGTCACTGTAAACTGTACAGAATGATTGAGGTCTCAAAGCAGATTCAAATAGTTAAAGAATTTAAAGAACAGGCACACAGTGATGGTGAAGGTGTGTGTGATCAGTCTGTAGTGGATGCTGGAAAGGGTCTAAATTAGTCCAGATGTATGTTGTTGTTTTCCACCTATTTTTCAAAATGTCTGCAAAATTAAATATTTAAGCTGTAAACAAAGTAATACAGAGGGGTTTGATGTGAAATTCTTCATTCTACAGAAACTTACAGACTCAAGATTGTCACAGTGGTGGTGATAGGAACCAGATGTCCAATGAGTTTAAGGCTCTAAAAGCTTACTCACAGAAAGTTATTACATGAATTAAATGGTTGTGAATTCACTGCCTGATGACATTGTTTTATCACAGTTTTGAGAAAGTTTTGGCCTGAAACGTTTAATTAATTTTATTTCATGTTGGAGAGATATATGCAGGTTTGCTGTCCCCAGAGCCAAATAAACCCTTTTTTCAGATTAACCACTATTTTACCATCATCAGCATTGCATATAAAAACTCAGAAGACACATGTAGGTTCATTGGAGGTTGGAATACAAAGTAATTTGGCTATTATTGCATTGTAGACATTGTGACCCCTGGTTCCTATCACCATCACTGTAAAGAAATCTGAGTCAGTACACTTCTCTACAATGAACCCTTTCACATCAACCTCATCACCTTTTAAAATGACTTTGTTTTGCATTTCACTGACTGAATTATGCAAACATTTTGAAAAATTGATGGAATTCCTCTTTAAGTCGACATTAAGCGAGTAATAGAAGAAAGTGGACGCATCATTTACCTTGACTTATGCTTTTTTTTTCTTTCTAGTACACTTAAAAGTGGTTGGTCCAGCTGAGCCTCTTGTTGTTGAAGCTGGTGAAGATCTGGTTCTGCCCTGTTCTCTCCAACCCAGCGTCAGTGCTGTGGACATGACAGTGGAGTGGTCCAGACTGCATCTGGGTGACAGAATAGTGCATCTGTATGAATATCATAAAGATAAAAGTTTAGATCAGATGGAGTCTTATAGAGGAAGAACAACTCTATTCAAAGAAGAACTGAAGAAAGGAAACACTTCACTGAAACTCTCAGTATTGCAGCTTTCTGATGAAGGAGCTTATAAATGTCTCATCGAATTCATGTCCTGGAATAATCATGTAATTGTTTATGTTGAAGTTAAAGGTAAGAACCATCATGATTTCAGTATAACATTACTTGTAAATTAATTTGCAAAAAGAGTATTGATTCAGCTTCATAATCATTTTTAGCCACGAAGTGATAACAGAGTATTTCAATTAAAAAAATAATAATAATTTTACACAATTTCCAATTTTCCCCAGATTAATTTACGGAAAAGATTTATGGAAAAGATTTGGGTGCAACTGACTTCCAGTGTTTGTCAGCAATGTTCGCCTGGTAGCCAGCACTAAACTAAAGAAGCAAAACAATGTGTCTTGACTGTGCAACTACATCTGGGGTAAACAGGACATTATGTAAAATATATTTTTTTTTGCCAAACCATTTCTTTAAAACTAAAATGTGAAATTCTATCATTGTTACTCACAGTCTAGATTTATTTAAACACAGAAAAGCTGTGTTTAAATAAAAGTAAGATTTCAGTGTCAACATCTCACCCTGTCCCTAGTTACAGGAGGAACTGTTCACATTGTATAGCACAGACTTTCAAGGCAAATTCGCCATGTCTAAACCACTTTGAACAAACTTTTGGGTGTGTTATGACTAATGTGAAAAAGAAAAATGAAAAATCTCATTAAATGCCTTTGACGTTTTTTATGAAGGAAGGCCTAAATGAAAATAAATAAAAAGTGTGTTTTATCTCTTGGAAATGTAGTTAAGTTTAATACTTGATTAAAATACAAATCCTCCAAAATAATATAAAAAACATTGCAAAAAAAATTATAGTAACAAATTAGTTTTCCTCACCCCTGGAAAGAGTCACAGTGCCATGTAACAGTTTGTTATTAATAAATAACAGTACTTAAAGAAATTATTTACTGTTATTTTTATAATTATTTTATTAGATGTTAGGCGCTGCTGTACATTTTTATCTGGTTTGTTTTTCAGGAAAACATTTTCATGGTTGGAAGATTGCCATCATCTGCATTGCAGTGTTTGCTGTTATATTAACTGCATTCACAGCGTACATTTTAAAAGGTAAACTTTATTATTTTTATTATTTCATTTTTAGGAATAATTTTAAACTGCTTAAAAGAACATTTTCCAATGACACATGTGACAGATGGGGGAAAATCACATACAGACATTTTTAATCTCTACAAATGTTGTACATAAAACATCAATTACAGAGGCTTAAAGAATAGATAAATCTGTCATTTAATGTAGTGACAAAGAATGGCCCAAAGATGTCAGAAACATATAGCGAAGTAATATTCATAACAGCCACCTACAAAATTAGGTTTTTAATCCTCTGCCACTGTTTACTTCAACAACTGTCATGTATTCAAACAGTTTCTGTCACTGGATGATGGTGATTTCTGAAAGTTTTCCATTGTTTCTCTCTACTACCAGATAAATTCTCAAAAAAGGAGCTTTCTCCTGCACAGTGCTCAGTCATAACCTGCATGCATCTCCAGTCAGAGAGTGTGCGGAAAGAGTTTGACCTGAATAAATACAACACGTCAGAGGAGGGATATGTAAGACTCATCCCAGCTATCACAAACTGCAGAAAGGCCCGGTGAGTGTTGAACATGACCATTATTAAACTAATATTAATACTGTGTTATGACTTACAGACTGTATGAAATGTCAAACAAGTCTAGGTAGTCAAAGGGGTCTAAAAAGGTTAAGTCAGAGTATTGTGTCTTTTATGTTGCATTTGGAGCTTTTTCGGTTTACTGGTAGATAGATTATTAAAAGTGTGTTAGTTCACATAAAAATATTACATACTTTACACATGTACATGTGTACCATAAATGCATTTTACACAGTCTTGCATACCTCAGAGTTCTTCAGCAAGATTATATTTAGTTTACAGAGTCTCATTACCTTTGCAAAATGGTCTTCCACTACTTTTTGTGACATGTTGTAATCAAAAACTGTAGCACAGTGCTAATCCAGACTCGAGACAGAAGTATTAACTAAACATTACTGTACAAAGACAGTCCTGCAGGATGTGTTTGTGTCTTGTTGGTTCCTCATGGCTTGACATTATTTTATGTCTACCTGTTGGTTTCTACTCACGTCCTGTTCTGTCTCATAGAATGGGTATAATTTCTTTTGCGTTAAAAATTGAATGGTTTCCTGCAGTTATGCTACAGGAAGCAGCAGGTAACATAGTATATGTAATACAGTATGTAGTCATTGTATTGGTTAACCTTAACAGAGAACATACAACACCTTTTCTAAATTAATATCCAAAAATACAGTCTGATTACTTGCTCCGTCAAAACCTTATCAATTAATAGCTGTTAGTTTTTTTTGTGAATATTTTTTTATTTTTTATTTTCAATACTAAACAGAAACAAAATGTTCAATGACAACACAGATACAAATAAATGCTTTAAGTAATTCACTAAATACATTAAGTAATTCACTAATGTTATTAGCCAGATCTTCCCATATTTGGATTGTTGGAGCCTTAGCATTGTGAATTCTAGCAGTAGAAAGCTCCATCATAACCATATCATGAAAACATCCAACGATGAACTATCAGTTTTTTTGCTGCGGTCAAACCAGCAAACATAATTTTCCTCTGTTTCTCACTGAGCTGTAGTTGTAAATCATCATTAAGAAGCAATAAAATTGGTTGAAGGGGAATGTCCTTTCCTATAATTTTAGAAAGTATAGAAGTCACCCTCTTCCAAAATGAATAGATCCCTGGACAATCCCAAACCATATGTTTCAAAGAACCAGGTACCCGTAAAGAACACAACTCACAGTTAGGATTTGACGTCAGTTTAGCATGAAATCTTAATAGTGGTGTCCAGTATGCCCTATGATAGAGCTTAAAGTAAATCAGTTGGTAATTAGGATTTTTTGATGCCTTAAAGATATTTCTCCAAGCCACCTCCCAATCCACCGACCCAGCCTCAATTACCAAATCCTTTTCCCACTGATTTTGTATACTAAGACCAGAATCATATATTCCTTGTAGCCATGAGTATATGTATGAAACAAAGCCCTTGGAAGGGCACTTTAGTATCTGTTTTATAACTGGATGAGTTACCAGTCCTGATCTCCAAGGAACCCCATATGCTCGGAGCGCCGATCGTAGCCTCAAATACAGAAAAAATGATGTTCCTGGGATATCAAACATGAGGCAAAGGTCTTGAAAACTGCAAAGCCCATCTGAATCATAAACATCACCAAGAGTATTAATGCCCTTCGAAGCCCACTGTTTAGATTCAAAAGGTTTGCTACCTGACTTGATATCTCTGTTATGCCACAAAGGTGTATGGACATGCCCTTTCAGGGTGCACTTAGTTCGCTTCTCAACCACTCTGAAATTGGCTATTGTGTAAGCTATAATGGGACCGAAGTTAAGTAAACATTTAGTGTTGGAAATATTAGAAAACACTAAATCTTGAAGTCTGATTGGATGACTCAATGCTTCTTCCAAATTCCTCCAAGAGGCAGATGATGAAGGGTTCATCCATGTTGTTACAGGACGCAACTGGAAAGACTGGTGGTAAAGTTTAAAATGTGGAAGGGACAGTCCCCCTTTTGTTTTGGGACGTTGCAAAGAATTAAATCGTATTTTAGGGTGTTTACTATTCCAAATATATTTGCGCGGCAGTTTATCTACCTTAATCCAGTAGCCAGACGGTGGTGGTAAAGGAATCATCATGCTAACAAAATTAATACGAGGTAAAATGTTCATCTTAATTGTTGCAACACTCCACTTCCTTATATATTTTCTCTGTGCCATTCAAAGACGTCTGAATGTTTATACCCACATAATTCAGCTGTGTTCTGACAGGAATTACTGATGGCACAGAGATATTTTTTGCGTTGCTATTAAGTAACATCAAAGCTGATTTTGACCAATTAATTTTGTAACCCGATAATGCTTAACGTTTTCAAATGCTGGTAATAAATTGGAGATAGACTTAACAATATCAGTCATATAGAGGATGATATCGTCTGCGTAGAGGGATATAACGTGAGGACGACCTTTGACCTGAATTGGTGATATAACTTTGTTCTGTCTTAAATGCTGAGCTAAGGGTTCAATAGAAAGAATAAATAAATCTGGAGATAAGGGTGACCCTTGACGTGTTCCACGAAGAACAGAAAAGGGGGGTGATTGTAAACCATTAGTAGTGACCAAAGCAGATGGGTTATTGTATAAAATCTGAATCCTATGAATGAAGTTACGTCCTAAACTAAACTTATCTAACACCATCCACAGATAATCCCACTCAATTCTATCGAGCGCTTTTTCTGTGTCCAAAGACAAGACTGCCCACGGAGCATCTTTTTGTTGTGACTCATGTAAAACATGCATCAAGTGCCGAATATTATCTGCAGCAAGCCGTCCCTTCAAGAACCCAGACTGGTCAGAGTGTATTAATTTGCCAATATATTTATCAAGTCTATAGGCTAGCACCTTAGAATACAATTTAATATCAGAATTTATCAATGAAATTGGGCAAAAATTAGTACACTGAGTGAGATCTTTACCTTTTTTAGGTAACAAGGATATCATAGCAATATTCATATGGTCATGAAAAGAGCCCACCTCAATTGCAAACTGTATGGCTTCATAAAACACCGGACCAAGAATATCCCAAAAGCACAGCAACAGTTCTGGTGGAATACCATCTGGTCCAGGTGCTTTACCTTTAGAGGTATTTTTAAGTGCTAAATGTAGTTCTTCTAAAGATACAGGGCTGCCTAAATCTTCTGCTTCAGCTTCACTTAGCTTTGGAAGGTCAAGGTTATTTAAAAATCATCTACAATCCTCAGTATTAAAGTTACCCCTAGACAAATATAAATCCTGATAGAATGATTTGAAAGTATCATTAATGTCCTTTGAATCAACTTCTAAACCTTTTGAAGAAGAGTGGATGGAATCTATCGTAGCAAACCTTTCACACTGCTTTAATTTCAGAGCAAGAAGCTTGCTAGGTCTGCTTCCGTTAAAGTAGTATCTCTGTCGAACTCTGTGTATAATAAACTCAGCTTTTCTTCTTAACAAATCATTCAATTTTGCTTTAACTATGCAAAGTTTATTTTTAATATCTTCATTATATACCCTTTTAAGACTTTGTTCCAATACATGGCATTGCTGTTCCAACATATTGATTCTGTTAAGTCTATCCTTATTCAGATGGGCAGCAAAAGCAGAGGAGAAAAAACCTTGGATCCTCAACAGATTCCTTATTAATCATCAAAAATTCTTGTAGATTTGATTTAAATTCCATTGGAAAAACCTCACTTTGTAGTAAGCTAGTATTAAATCTCCATCTTGGTGACCTTCTAACCTTAATTTCTAAATCCATTACCACCACTACTGGGCTATGATCAGACAATACTGCTGGGAGAATTGAACTAGATTCTACCAACCTATCTAAGTTTCTGGAAAGTAGAAAAAAATCAATTATTGAAAATGTTTTGTGCCGTATAGAGAAACGTGTAATCTTGAGCACCTAACGTATGCGCACGCCAAACATCAAGGAGATTTAAGTCCTCAATGAACTTAGTCAAAGCCATTGATGCCAGCTGTTGAGAAACAGATGAATTTTGTGTTGATCTGTCCAATCTATAATCAATTACAGCATTCATGTCACCTCCAATTATGAAATCATAGCCTGAAAGGGCCAACAACTCTTTGGCTACCCATGGGAAAAAGGTGCTATCATATACTGTAGGAGCATACAACGACACAAACACAATGTTTTTACCATGTATCGAAGTGCAAACGTAAGAAAGACGACCAAACCCCTCTTGAGAAGAGCTAACTCTCTGGATTACCAATTTAAGACTTCTCTTCACCAGTATTATCATGCCCTTACACTTGGAATCATCACTGGAAGAAGCCACCACTTTATATGTCCTATCCTGCATACGAGATACATCCAGTATATTTAAATGTGATTCTGTAATACATGCAACGTCAATGTCTTTCCTTCGTAAAAATTCTAAACATTTCACTCTTTTAACTCTTCAGCCCCCTTACATTCCAGCACAGCATCGATAATTTACCCATTATCAAATGGATTAAATATAGTATAAACGAAAAATGAAAAACAAAAAAAAGTGTGTATACTTAACACAATCTCCCAACTGAGGTGCCTCCCCTCCCAACCCAGCCCACAATCCCCATCCCTGAACAGTGTTTCTAAGAGGTGTGACAACCACATAACGCAGTCAGAGCTCCAACACTCAACCTAGTCCCTTGCAAACTAGCTGAACGATTTATAAACATCAGGTTTTAAAACCAGTCCCAACACTAGGAATAAGTAATCTATTTCTTGAAAAAGAAATGAGTTTCCTAACCTTAATATGAAAACTTAAGCTTAGCCAAAATTAACTTAAAGTTCCATATAATTAACCATATCTTCTCCATATACTAAACAAATAGCCTAACAAAACTATTCTATACCCTAAGGGTCAACCCAAAATAGACCAACTCAACTTGAAAGAGTTCTCCTTCAATTTAAAGCAAAGCAAATTAAGTAACTTTTCTGCAGCCTGTTACTATAAGCTGGCATCAGGAGCTAACTGATTCACTTAGCGGTCGATAGTCAAATCAGTCCATGTCTTCTCCACCACTGGCTCCCGTTGCCTCGAAGGGAAGCTTTCGTCTCGACAAAATGGACGGACCTTTGTCAGTATCCTCGGACAAACGTCTCGTGAATTCTTCTGCCTCCCGAACCGATGAAAAGGACAACTGTTTACCTTGAAATGACACTCGGAGGGTAGCAGGGTAGATCATAAATGTGGACACCCCTCTTGCCAACAGTTCTTTCTGAACGCCGCTGAAAGCCTTCCTTCTCTGGACTGTGTGGGCACTGTAGTCCGCGAAAAACAGAATGTTTCTCCCTGCATCTCAGATGGGGTTGTAATTAATAGCTGTTAGTTAAGCAAGTAGGAGAAAGAAGGACTCAAGGTAATGTGTCACAAAATCATGTCAGTGGAGTACAAGACTGAAAAATAGTTTAAAGAATTGAACTGAATTGTTCAGATAATTCCAAATGCAAATAGAGTTTGTAAATGATCATGTATTTTACTCACTTTCTTTTCTTCCCTTCCTGTAGATTTGTTGGCTGTAATCTCACTTCACAGTCCCTTGAAACTTTGAGTGCAGCTCTACAAACAGAAAACTCCTTCCTGAGAGAACTAGATCTCAGTAACAGTGACCTGCAGGATGCAGGAGTAGAGAAGCTATGTGCTGGACTGAAGAGTTCACACTGTAAGCTGGAGATACTCAAGTAAGAATTTCCATAATCACTTGCACCTTTGATGCAAACCTAAAGATGGGTAAAAAGATCATGAAAATGTTTAATTAGCCCAATCTTACATAAAAATAAACTAAAAACTAAAACTAAAATATAAAATATAATTTAAAACTAAATTGCAGTTAGCAATTAACAAAAAATCCTTATAAAAATGACTTTTTAACAAAATCATGAGTGTCACGGTTACTGCACCCTTACTTTGCTAACATGATCTATAATGTTTGATGAGATTGGAGAATATGGAGCAAGGAATCTGAGACCACTCCTCAATACAGAATCTTTCTGAATCCTCAAGGTTTTTAGGTCCTTTCTTTTAAACTCCTCCTAATCTCACCAAACTGGTTTTCAACAGTTTAGCTGTTTTTCTAATAGCCATTGTGTGAATTCAGAAGGTCTATCACACTTTGTCTCATTTCCTTAATGTATTCCTTAATCATCCACATATAGATGAATGACTATGGAAATTAGCCCCTGTGTCATCCTATATTTATACCACAATGAAACAGGAAATCATTAATGACCACTAAATTATTCCTGAAGTGTCAAGTGGGCCTAAAAATGTGAAATGTATTTGAAAAGAATTTTTGTTTTCTTTAATTACAATTGAGGAAACATATGCAGAAACAAATGAACTACAATCTGTAATTGTAAAACTAAAAACGTGTCATTGTTTGTGTTGACCATCTTTATTTGCTCTCCCTTTGCAGATTAGCTTTGTGTAGTCTTGGAAAGAATACGTGTGAAAATCTGGGATCAGCTTTACAATCAGAAACCTGGCCCCTGAAAGAACTAGACCTCAGTAAAAATAACCTGCAGGATTCAGGAATGGAGACGCTTTCTGCTGGACTGAAGAGTTCACATTGTAAACTGGAGATACTCAGGTCAGAAAAAAACTGTTCTTTTACAGTATTATAGAAGTATGCAAATAATTTATGTTTCTATACAGTAGTATGCAACACTAAGTGATCAACTTATTCATTTATTTCCAGTCAAAAAAAACAACATTAAGTACAAAAAAGCAATATATATTTATTTAACAGAAATATCAACAGAAGTAGTTTAATATCAAGTCTATTTGTATTTCATTCACAGTTTGTTTGTATTTGATTCAACAGTTTGTTTTACTCTCAACAAGAACTTGTTTCAGATCTGAAAAAATCTACAGGTGTTTCTTTTCATGCTTCCACTGTGACAATACAACTTTGAAAGGATGTGTAGCTGTCAAGAAGCCCTTACTGAGAAATGGAGAACACAAAAGAACAAACTGCACTAGAAAATCAAAACTAGACACCTGACTGATGAGTCTAAATTTGAATCTAACAGAATGCAGTATGTACATCACTGAACCAATAAAAGTGAAAGAATCAGTGCACTTTTGGCAATGTAGGAAGGCATCATGAATGCTGATTAAGATTATTTTATATAAATCACCACAACAGTAGACTGTTCGGCTAGGTTATAGGCTTTCTTTAATGACAGCCAAAGAAACTGTTTTTCATGTAATGAAAATACAAAACTAACACTGCAATTATTATTTTTTTTGTTAATTTTGCAGTGAACATTATAGTCATAATATAGTTTTTGTATTTTTGTTAAAACCATTTTGTTAAAACCATTAAAAACCATATTTTATGCATTTGTATTATATTTCTTCACTGCTAGTCAAATTGCAGTTCGCAAATAATTTGTAAATTGCATGAAATATAAGTGTCATGTTTCCTAAAACACAACTGAAATTTAAATACATTAACACAATAAAAAACAACCATTTTCAAAGCATCTTACACTAGTTAGCAAGACTTGTAGCTATTATTTTTTTTCTATATTGCATTGTATAAAATAATCTGATGCATTAATTAGCCTACATTTGCATCTTCATATCAGTTTTATGTAAAGAGAGGAGATAATAATCTAGCTGCATAAATCACTTGTAGCAATCATCTTTAGCTGTCTTAAATTTAGCTTACTAGCTAGCTTTTTAACCTAACTACTTTTCAGCAAGTAAGCAAAATTATTCAAAAATCCACATTCAACATGAATGAAATTTAGGTTTGTATTAGTATTGAGAAAATAATATTGCATGAAAATGTAACTATGTAAAGACAGACTAATATTATAGTATAGAAGAGTTGATTTCTAATTTAGCAGCAGGAATTACAAACCAAATGTATTTCATTTATATGTTTTTCCAGTTGGTTACCCATTACAATAAAACAAATATATTTAATTTTAGTTCTAGTATTCTAATATCACTCAGGTCGCTAGATAAAGTTAGGTAGTCCATTGCAACACTAAACACAAGCCTGTGTACTGCAGTTTGATTTGTTGTCTTAGCTAGAAAATCATGCATGGTAGTAATACTATTATTATTTGTGCAGCCCAACCCCTCACCCAAATAATATCTGGTCAGCATTGGTCCTATGATCATCCCAATGGTACAATGTACTTATACATAAACTGGCAACGAATTGTATATATGTCTACAAATAAACTGGTTTTAAAATGTTTCATACATTGATTCCAATGGTTGGAACACTAAAAAATGTAAATACAAGAATGGAAGAAGTTGTAAGTTCTGATATATGAACAAATACCTATGATGAAAATTAAAATCACATAAAGTCATAGAAATTAACTAAAGGACAATCAATTTTGCCAGGAAAATTGAAAGACAGTGATGATCCTGTCTCTAACTACAGGAATTACAAGGCAACAGAGAGTGGAATGATGCTTGCTTTATAACCCTCATTAATGCATTTCTGTATGATTCTAAATTTGTCACGCCTCCCTCCGGCATGGCTGGGACAACAGCCGACACTGCCGCCTCAGACTACAATTCCCAGAACCCCTCGCTGGGCCACATGACTCAGGACTCCAACCAATCAACCTATCAGAGCTCAGCTTCACCAGATTTAGTTTAGTATTTAAGCCTGGACTTAAGCATACCTTCCTTGCAAAGTATCGTCTCAGTATACTGAGCGTTCTTTCCTTGCCTGTTTTTTGATTTCCGTGTACGACCTGTTTTTCTGTCCTAGCCTTGATTTTTGCTTTGCCCTTTTGTCTTCTTGTGGATCTCTGGGCTTTGACTTTTTGCTCTGGCTTTACGACTGTGATTTTGGACCCTTTGTTATTAAAGATCTTAACTCAAGCCTCGTCTGTGAGAGTCTAGTTCTGTCTGCCACCGATACAAAATTTCCATGACTAAACTATGTTCTTAACTGTATTTACTCTCCCTATGCAGATTAGCCATCTGTAATTTCAGTGTGGAGTCTTGCAAATTGCTCATATCAGCCCTGCAAGCAAAAATTTCCTCCCTGAAAGAGCTGGACCTGTGTAGCAATGAGCTACAGGATTCAGTGGTGGAGTTGCTGTCTGCTGGACTTAAGACTGGAGACTGTAAACTGGAGATACTGAGGTCAGTGTTCCTGTCAATTTATTTTGGAAGGAAACCCACAGAATTTGAAAACAATGCAGAACAGTTTTATAAATGCCAATGTCTTTATTTGTAAACACTTGGTATGCTTTCTAGTGAAAATATTTGACATGACAACTTGACATGCTCTCTAGTGAAAATACTCAAATACTATGGTGAACCAACTTTTGCTGCCAGTTGGTTCAGATGGTTCATCATAAGACTAGCTAAATGGTGGTGTTGATCACAAAGTAGTGTCTAATGAAGCTTTTAATTATAGCAGATTAATCGCAATTTGGGAAACAACATGTTTCCAGATGAAGAGACAGGTAGAGTTTAATCAAATTCATGTAGGGGTGTCTGAGCTACTACAGAGTGATTTGACAGCTTTATGTTAAAAACAAAAAACAAATTGAGTATTTTAATATGCACTTGAAGAAAGAGGAAAGATTTACTGTGTGATCATCCAGCACAAATTCTATTTGCTCATGTCATCTGGTCTCTGTTGTGCTATACAGGCTAATTTATCTCCAAAATAATTAAGTAGTTCTAGACCAATTGTTCTGCTCACGAGGACTAAACACAGCCTTATTAATCTCCAAAATAATCCAACAGATCTATATTAACTGTCCTGCACAGCTCATCCCACAGTTCAGTACAATCTGGATCAAAATGATTGCATTTTCAAAGAGCAATAAAATACACCAGTGTTCAAAACCTAGTTTATGATGGATAATATTTGCAATAAATAATTCTTTATCTAAGCATTATATTTTGTTAACAGTTGGCTAAGGTTCCAAGCAATGATGAAAGACTATTCTAAAAATAGCACTAACAGAAACGTTTTAGATGTTAGGTTTTTAGAACCTTAAATTCTAAGCAAATCACATTCAGCACACAGAAAAAGAGCAGGTACATCACAATAGAAAAAGACCAGGCATACACAGCACTGATACAGTAATGGTACTGACAAGTGACATTATTCTGACTGCAGATTATATTTTTACATTTCTGTAAAAAAGAAATGCTACAACTCACCCTTTCGTTTCTTACAGCCTCACACTTCCAAGGGTAGAGAGTTCATTGTGTAAATGGTGTTCCTGCTGCTTTCAAGTTGTCCTGAAACACTGACTGCTGGCTTTATTTTACTTTCCTTAACATTAGTTAAGTGCACTGAGAAATCTTGTATAGTGCACTTGACCAGATATGATTAATTGTGGTTACTTGAATTTTACATTTTTCAAAACAATGTACTGACAGGGATCTTTAAGGTCTTTGTCATGGCTCTGTAGTTTTTTTCCATTCAACACCTGCACAAACAAAACTTTTTTTTTTTTTTGCAAATGTTAATGCAACTTAATTAACTTAAAAATAGTTGTTTGGCAGCCAGTGGCACAGGAAATGCACAGGTAGATGGAAGAATGGATTCCACTAAATATCAGCAAATTCTGGAAGCAAATACACTAATAAATGAAAAAGTTAAAGCTCAATTTCAAGGCAATTTACTGCACTAGATTTTTGAGTTTTAAGGTTAACTTAAACACCTGAGTTTTGAAGAAAACCACCTACCATTGTGCTATTAGCTTTTTTTCAGATAATTTATCTTTTACATGAATAAAAACTTTAAACATGAACCAGTAATAAACCTGTAAAAACTATAAACAGTAATAAAACTGTAACAAACTGTCAACAGTGCTTTTGTGTTAGCAGCACATTCAGCTTATGTTCTATAAGCCAGGAGAAAACAAACATTATGATTAACAATAATCAAATCCACAAATATACAATACTGACTATAGTTCAGCACCAGCCAACTGTTAAAATGATAGCTAATGGCATAACACTTCAGTCATCCATCAGGTTATGTTCTGGAGCAGGACTGTCCAAAATATTATGCACTCGACTAACCATTATAGGACTGACAACCAGTCTATTAGTCTTTTAAAACCACAAATATGTTAATCCAATATTGCAGACAAAATAATGCAGGTGTAAACTGACCTTTCTGCATCTATTAATTCAAGGTTATCAGCGCAGACACAAAATACTGTTCCCTTCACAAACTTAGCTAGAACCTCATGAAATACCCATCCTTTTCGAGAGACTTTATATTTTTGATCAGGATGACGATATGCATTATACCCAAACAGTTTAACATCAACACTCTTTCCAAGAAGAGCCAGCTGAATTAAGGAGAGATTAGAAAAGAAAACAGAATAACATTAAATTCAACAATTGTCTGTAAAGCACTTTTAGAAACATGTAATGCTGCTTGCATGCAGAAAAAAAAGATGCAGTTTTATGTTCAAGAATCTGAGCAGCTATATACTCATCCCTTCCACTCGCTTGAATCTTGACTTGAACCACTTTGTAATTCTCTACCTCAACAATGTTATCCAATGGCTGGTCAATTTTCAGTGCATTCTGAAAATGAAAGCATAGAAGTCAATGAACAAATGAGGAAACACACCAGCTTAACAGAAACTGTCATAACTCAGAGCAATTGTGGAGGAAAACTAAACTGCAAGTACATTATGATATTCTCAAAGAGCAGATCCAAACTTAATACAAGGCAATAATATATTCAGGCAATATTACCTCTCTAGTGAAATTAATAAGCACAAAGATAATACCAAAGGCCTTTTTTCCACCACAGACTAATTAACTATACCTTTTCTCATAGTGTCACTTAGGTATTGTCACAATCACATAGTGATTACCCTCTTAAATTTTGCAATTCATTTTCAAAACAAAATAACCACTGATAAGACACAGCATAGCTCAGCCTACTGCAACAAGTACCCATTAACCTTCCTGACAAGCCAACAACATTAGTGATGACCTCATTCTCTGCTATCCATTATCAGGAGCTAGCAACAGTTACACACAAATTATGTTTTTCCACATGTGACACAGGTGAAGCCTCTACTAAAAAACAGCAGCATGGAACCTTCCATACTCTTCCAAACTTCCATTTCTAATCTTCCTTTTTAAGTGAAGATTTAGAAAAAGTTGCTGTTGTAAAATCTATGTTTTTATTCTTTGTTTGCAGACTAGCTTTGTGTAACCTTGCAGTAGAGACCTGTGAAAATCTTGGATCACTTTTACAACTGGAAAACAGCTCCCTGAAAGAGCTGGACCTCAGCAACAATGACCTACATGATTCAGGAATGGAGCTGCTCTCTGCTGGACTGAAGAGTACACACTGTAAACTGGAAACACTCAGGTCAGTGTTTCTTTCAGTGTATTCCTGAATCATAAATAATAAGCGGTGCTATGTTTATATCATGAAGCAGCATGAGGTTTCTACTGTTTTTAACTTTGAATTATAAATTGGTCACATAGTTCTAAGTTAAATTCCAGCTGAATGAATGTTTGTTTTAAAAAAGGTTTCTAGATGACAGGAGTAATTTAAATGTTCCTTTAAACATAATTTAAAAACATCAATGTTTTGCCCACCATCTGTACAAACATTGGGTCAACAGTGATCTGGAAAACTGCACCACAAAGCACTTCACATACATGATCATTCAGCATCATACACATGCCGTCAGAATCAACCTGTTCACAACAGACTGATGAGGAGGCATAATTGCAAAATGGATCAAGTGGGTGGGGAGTGGTATAAGTTCATGCAATGCTACACAGCTAAAGTATACATTTAAAGGTTAGTGTTAGTTACATGCTGTATTTTCTCTTTCACCCTAATTTCTCTCTTTTCTTTATCCATGTCCCTGTAACTGCTGTATCTAGTGCAGCCCAGTGGACAATGGGTTCCTGTTTTGAGTCTTGGTTTTTCTCAGTGGTCCTTCCTCATGTTCTTAGTGAATTTTTCCTTTTGTGTCTTGGTTCCTATCAGTAATTTTAAGTAAGCTTAAGTAATTTCCTTAAGCTTTTAAGGAGTTTATATTGACATTGCAGATATTTTAGATTATGTTAAAGATCAGCTCACATAATACACAGGCTAGTTTTATATATGGAATTGTGTATATGGAATTTAAAAAAGTACAATATCAAGAGAAGCAGTGAGGTTCCAAGTCTAAACTGTATCGCTGATGCCTCAGTGCACATCAGTGCTATTTGTAGAATATATTTAGTGTAAGATCTACTGATTGCTTTATCATGTGTGTCTTGTCTGTGTTATTCCATTCCTGAGTTATGAAACTGAGAAAATGGAGTGGAGTTAAAGAGAATCTAAGGCCTAACTAAATTAAACGTTTATCATTAAAAGGAGGAGTTCAAAAGATTAGCAAAAAATATTGTCAAAAAACATTTCTGCCACTCCCGCTAGTGAGATTGTGTTTATTTTTATGCTTAATTGTATGAAACTGTGTTTTAGTATGTTTCTGTCTAGTTTGATATCATTGTGAATCATCTATCTCACTCGGTCATCTGTCTTCTCGTTATTTATTTTTTTGCAGATTATCTGGTTGTATGGTCACAGAGAAAGGCTGTTCTTTTCTAGCTTCAGCTCTGAGTTCAAACCCCTCACATCTGAAAGAACTGGATCTCACCTACAATCACCCAGGAGAGTCAGGAGATAAGGTGCTCTCTGCCAAACTGGAGGGTACACACTGCTCACTGAGCACTCTCAGGTATGAAAAACTGTGTTCAGAAGTGTGTGTGTGTGTGTGTGTGGATTTAGAATGATTGAACTACTGAAGACAGTAATTATTTGCTCCTCCTATATGGCTGACAGCTCTCCAGCAGATTAATTGCATTTTATGTAGGCTCTAACATCTATGCTCTTATTCACCTAGACTGCTCTTACTGAGCAAGACTATTTCACTTTCCTAGACTGTTCTCACTCACCTAGACTGCTTTCATTATATTCATCTAGAACTCATGTGTCAAACACAAGGCCTGCGGGCCTTGTCAGGCTCTTGGCACAATCCTGGCTCACAAAATTATTTGAAATTTCAACATTGTCGATGACTCATATCTGTTTTATATCAAAATTCTGTTTGTGTAAATTATTCATTTTAACGTTTTTGAGCTCACTTTTTCTTACACACATCACAGGCTGTGAAACACACACACATACACACACACACACACACACACACACACATCTAAACCGCTTATCCTTCTGGGTCGCAGTGGGGTGCTGGAGCCTATGGCTGTGAAACAGTGAGAGCTATTTAAGTTATTTATTTTTTTGTTTAAAGATAAGCTTACTTTAAAATGTTTTAAGTTTTTACAAACTGTACTGTCTAAAGCTTAAATCACTATTTTATAATAGATCTTATATTCATGTAATGTGAGTTCCGTTTTTGTAAATTTTCACACTATAACCATCAAATTTATGGTAAATGAATATCGGCCCCAAATATCAGTTATTAGTCTTCCTGATTATTAGTAATCGGTATCAGCCCTGAGAAACCATATCGGTCGATCCCACCACCCCCTGGCCCCACTACAAAGAGCATTAAGGGCGTTTTCACACTTGGGCCGTTTCAGCATCTGAAGTGGACTCAGGCTGCTGAGTCATGGTTTCTTTTGCATATGTGAACACGCCAAACAAACTCAGATCCCCCTTAACGGCCCCCAAAACGAACATTGTCAAGAGGTGGTCTCAGTGTTTTCACATATAGTTCGTTTTAAAAGAACCGAACCGAGTTATGTTAAAGTGAACCTGGAAGGGAACCAACTGCAAGTGACCTCAGTTCTTTTTGTGTTCACAATGTAAGTGAACTCTAAAGAGGACTATCAGGTGGCGAGAAGAACCGGCAGACCCGCCTGCTGCTCTCCTATTGGCCGCACTGAAACGACTGGCCGAAGTCCATCGCGCAAAATTGGAAAAACGGCCCTGCAGGTCTGCCGCGGTGGGCTCCGTGTTCGGCTGTGCTCCTCACTGAAGCTCCACCCGGCGAATTTTCATTCATTCAGCGTTCAGAGTGAAAGCACCTGAGAATTGCGTTGCGTGCCCAGCTCGAGCCTTTAACACGGTATAATCACGCGAGCTCTCGCATCTGATCGCTTTAATAAGTCAGCGCTGCTGTCTGTCGCAGACCACGGACAGACTTTATCCTGAGTAGAACCTTATAAATGATCCTTGGTCTGTTTTACCTGCTAAAGTGAAGACTGTGGCTGTGTGTACGGCGAGCATCGAGGTCTTCACCATAAAGCACAGCTGAAGCGGACTGGGGCCGTTTTGTTTTCACAATGCACAATTTAATCGAACCACAAAACGAACTACAAACGAACCGAACTGAGACCACCTCTCGAGGTGGTCTCAGTTCGGTTCGTTTAGGGGGCCGTTTAGGGGGGTCTGAGTTCGTTTGGCGTGTTCACATATGCAAAAGAAACCATGACTTCAGACGCTGAAACGGCCCAAGTGTGAAAACACCCTATATGTGAAAACATGGTAAAATCCCACTCTCATTGAGTGATCATAATGTAGAAACAAAGTGTTTAGGAGAGTCACCAGAATGTGTTAAACTATCAGATATGTTTACAGAGAGAGAGAGAGAGAGGGGGGGTGAGAGAACATTTAACTGAGTATGTTACTGTGTGTGTGTGTGTGTGTGTGTGTGTGTGTGTGTGTGTGTTTAGAGTGGAACATGGAGGTGAGATCAGAATGAAACCAGGACGGAAGAAATGTAAGTACACATACACACACACACACACACACACACAGACACACACAAATTCACATACACACACACACACCTACTTGTTTTTGTGAAAATTCAGAACAAGAAATAAACCTACAAAATTGGAACATACCTTTCTGAGAGGTATACAGAAAAGTTTTACTTTACAAATTTCATATATTAACTTCATCAGTTGATATTTTTTTCTATCTACTTTAAGAGGTCTGAACTTCCACAGTAAAATCAGTTTAAATTAAATATCAGGAGAAACATGCACATATTTTTCTTGTACGTACCACATAGTAAGGACATGGTAAAAACTAGATCACAACTACCCACATCACAACAGAAAAAAAACTTCCAATACTTAAATAATAATTAGGTGTATAAATTATGCTTTGTGACAACACAATACAAAAATGTGACAGTGTGCATCGTGACAATGTAACAAGGCATTATGGAAAATGGGCTTTCTGTTATCTATGACATCTGAGGCAACTGAACTGGCTGAAAGTTTTTAAACATAATTTTTTTATTCAGATTTTGTTCAAAGTATCCTGAGAAGTTTAAATCATATCATGAATCAAATCAAATCATGAACTGAATGAGCTGCTACTCCCTTATTAATAATAATGGTTAATAAAAAATCTACTATGTACATTTTTAAGTTAGGAGTCCTTCATCTTTACTCTGGTTTGAATTTGATTAGAGTAAAACAAAAAAGTAGAAAGTAAAAAGTAAAACACAACAAAGTAAATATTTTTCAAATGTGTGGGGTTTCTTTTCTTTTTATTCCAATTCAGGAGGTTCATTCACACAATTACTGTGAAATAGAGGCAGAAATGAAATAGAGAAATTCAGTCTAAAACTTAATACACTTCTAAAAAGAAGTGAAACTTTCTGTATTTTAAATGTAGAAGAAGAAAAACGTAATGTAACAGTAAAACACTTTAACTGACTGTTTTATTTTTATAAAATTACATGTAACATTAAAATGTATTTTTCTTCTCAGAGCAGAACTCTACCAGTCATTGTCTAAAAATTAAAAATTCTCACCATTTTAAAAGCAGATAATTTCATGGATGAACATAAGAAAATATAACTGTGGCAATGGTGGACTTCACCATCATCTATGAGATCTTGTGCACAGCTTACAAAAACTTAACAAAGCTAAAAAAAACAACAAACCTTTAAGAAGCAGCTGGTCTAAGATTAAAAGGCAAACCTTCTTACAATTACAATTCTTGAAATGGCCTCTTCACTGAGGACTATACAGGATTAAATCCTATTTAATCTCTACAGTCTTTCAGTATCAGTTCCTGCATTCTTAATCTCTATCAGTACATTCTTTATCATTTCTATCTTTCTCCATACATACAGTTACCATGTAGTTCATTATGTCCATAAACATGTTATGTCTCTTTCTTATACCTATATAGTCTTATGCCTATATAGTCCCTCTACATCATCCCTCTATAAAATTTCTCCCTGCTCTGTCCCTCTACGTCATCCCGACAACTTCAAAATATCTCTACCCTATCCTTATATCATCAATCCCTCTGTCACACTTACATCCTGCATTTTCTCTAAAATGTCAAATCAAACGAAGAACATTTATTGATACAACATTTAACTAAACCTAATATTTATCAACAAAAGCTGACCCAGACAGCTTCTTTATGTAGTCTGCCTCCATTCAAATGCAGCTCAAAAACGCCTTTGACAGTAATTTGAGGATAAATAACTTTATTTTACAAACCTGAGTTCTCCAGATCCAGACACTTTCTCCATAGTCACATGTGATTTCATCACCTCGTTTACTGTCATGAATCACAAACACAGGTGTGGTGAATCATCTGCACATATTTTTTTTTCCTTTGTATGGTCATCATTGACCAGTCTTCCTAAAGACCTATACTCCTTTGCAGCATCAATTCTAGACACAATTAAAGCAAACAAAAAGAAAAAGACGACAGAATCAGAGTTTTTCACATTCAGTCTGGTACTCTGTGTATAAAGTGTTGTTCAGCTCCAGGTGAAAACAGCCAAAACTCACCATTCATCCTGGTTGGATGAGTGACTAGAGAGAAGACATCCTTGCTGTTGATTGGTCAGCTGTGATGACATATGGCGCTCTTAAACATGCAGACTGATAATGTGAAGCTTAGTGTTCAGACTACAGGAAATGTTTTCAATCTTGGCTCATGAGGGGAAAATTGGATAAATTTGATTTTTCAGTGAACCGTTCCTTTAGTTTCACAACATTTTAAAGTAAAAACAAACACAAAGTTGCTGCTACAGAGTAAAACATTTTACGATTGTAAAAACAGGATGATCAGTACTAACAGTTCCACAGTCTCAACTGTGTTTGCATTTGTAGTCATAGCATTTAGCAGCTTGTCTGTCTTTGTCACCCAACTGAAACCAAGACCACATTGCTGCACTAAGTCAGACAGCACCACTTACCAGGGTGATTCTCCGCCGCATCATCAAACTGCATGAACATGTTGTTGGTTATTGACTTGCTTAGCCAGCAACAGTCAAATTAGTAATTTTAGTGTTCCACACTTTAACATGTGTTCATTAAGGTAATGTTAGGCAGGATAACAGACAACTGGGACATTATTTTTCCAAAAATCCAATAGTGTTTTTATTTAAACGTAAATAAGAAGCTGCAGACTCATTTCAAAAGTAACGTTGATGTTTGTGCTTTAAGATCCGGCAAACCATTCTGTTGTGATCAAAACATTTTTTAAGTCTCCTTAGGCTACAACCATATTGCCTGGTGTGACATTCACACATATTCTCAACCTGGGAAGCACTGTACAGTTTCAGGTATTCCTGAAGAGAACAGCCCTGATCCAGCTCATTAACTGATTATGGAGCCCTTCATTAGCTGGATCAGCTACTCTGGGAAGCAGGATTAAGAGACACAGCCTTCTACAAATTAACCTCCGCACTGTCATACTCAACAGCAGCAATGTATTTATTCACTTTATACCTGAACACGGAGACAAACAATAGATAATCATTTACACCAGAGAAATACATAAAAAAAAAACGCAAGAACAATCAGCTGACATTGGCTTCTTGTCCAGATTTTCTGATCCACCTTAAATGATGCACATTTACACAGGCATCAGAATGTAACTGTGGTGTCGTTTAAGGTGGAACAGAAAATTTAAATGAGAAGCTGGTAAATAAGAACCGAACTTCAGCTTCATGTTTGCACTATTACGTGTTCACAGTAATATAAACTATAGCTATATATTATTGTGCCAATTACTATTTGTCAGTAAATAATTTTGTAAAGAGTCCAATAATGTAAATTAGCTGGCATTGTCGCTAAGAGTAATAGCATTTATTCTAACCACTAGATGTGTTTATTGCTCATATTTCGACTTTGGCCCAATCAGAAATACACAGTTATACTTATATATTAATACCACTGACTGAATACAAACGATGGTAACCAGAAACATTAGACTGGCTAGCTATTTTAATTAGCTGGTGTTAACTACCTGTTTTTAGCAAATAATTCAACGTTACTGGTCTGTTACAGCAATATATATTTGGGAAAATAACAAATATAGTATTGTTATAGTTCAAATGGTTTAATTAGATTAGTTTAAGTAAAGTTATTCCTGCTGTTCTCTGCTGCTGCGGTCAGTCTTATCTGAGCTTTTGGTGTGAAGGGTCTGGAAAATAGAGCAGTGTAGCTCGCAGATCACTGGTGTGCAGTTAGAACCAGTCAGAAGTTCCAGTGCATTAACAGGTAGTTTATCAGGGGAGAAAACAGGGATAAGCAGAGGCATTGTGAAAAAATGCATCAGGCACCACCAAAAAAATAAATAAAAACCTTTTGTGCACATATCATTATATGCAGTGCAATTTCTGCATTAATTAAAAATATACACCTCATTAAGAGCATTTAGTAAATATAAAGCAAGCCATTATCATCTGTGTGTGAACTCCCAATTGGCTATATCCCAATATAAATAAGCCCCCAGAGTGAATCCGTCAGCAGGTAATCTGCAGTTTATGTGGCTGGTTTCTATGGTGCATCAACATTTTTGCTGACATACACGGTATTGTAAGTTTAGCTCTAACATGATTTGCAATTAATTTAATGTATTAAAGGCATCATTAAAATGGAAATGCCGCCTACAAATAAACCTTTTTATTTTTAAAATAAAATTTTAACAAGGTATATATCATCTTGGTACACTATCAACTGAGATTTATTATTGAAAGATTTATTTATTATTGATTATTCATTATTTAATTTATTTTTATCATCATAATTTGCATAATTTGAAAACTCCAGTTACTCTTTTGTCTCACAGTGCTGTGAAAAAGTATTTGCCCCTCAATCGATTTCTTCTATTTTTGCTAATTTGTCACATTTAAATGTTCAGATAATCCAACTAGTTTTAATTAAGATAAAGACAACCCAAGTAAACACAAAATGCAGTTGTCATGTTCAAATGGGAGCTCCTCAGCCTGTAGGTTGGGGTTTGGATCATCCTGTCAGTCAATATTTATGCCATCTTTCTCCTATGAGCGCTGAACACTTACTCAGACGAGGTGCTAGTGGGACATATACACATATATCTTTGCGATATTGACTTCCATGGGAAAGAGGCTCTTTTCCACACCCCCCACCAAACTGTAATCAATAGATGATGGCTTTGGGGCGTATTTAGGAGATGAAGGAATACTGCACATAATCTCACAAGCCAGTCTTAACCCATTTCCACATTACGGCCATTTCCACCTCAGAATCTCAGAACACCATCACACAAATCTGTTGTTGTTTCTGTCAAAACATCTTTCTTTCAATGTGCTCGAAGCCTTAAGCCAGTTAAGCATGGGCAACAGGCTACTGGTCAATTTGCTGCTTTATCGTCATCGTCAATCACCCTAGAGACGCAGTAAAATCCACCTTCTGCATCACCAGAACTCGCCACAAGCACAGGGAACTCCGATTCCCACAAGCCCTCAGG